TTATTTTATTTTATTTTATTTTATTTTATTTTATTTTATTTTATGTTTAATGTAATTTATTGTCAGGTTAACTAACATACAGTGTACGTAGTATGCTCTTGGTTTTGGGGGTAGATTCCCATTATTCATCACTTACATACAACACCCAGTGCTCGTCCCAACTCATGGCCTCCTCAGTGCCCATCACCCATTTTCCCCTCTCCCCCACCCCCTCCCTCAACTCTCAGTTTGTTCTCTATATTTAAGAATCTCTTATGGTTTGCCTCCCTCTCTGAAACTATTTTTCCCCCTTCCCTGCTCCCCATAGTCTTCTGGTAAGTTTCTCAAGTTCCACATTTGAGTGAAAACATATGGTATCCGTCTTTCTCTGACTATTTCACTTAGCATAGTACCCTCTAGTTCCATTCACATTGTTGCAGATGGCAGGATTTCATTCTTTCTCATTGTCAAGTAGTAGTCCATTATATATATAAACCACATCTTCTTTATCCATTCATCAATTGATGGATATTTGGGCTCTTTCCATAATTTGACTATTGTTGACAGCACTGCTGTAAACATTGGGGTACATGTGCCCCTATGGATCAGCACTCCTGTATCCTTTGGATAAATTCCTAGTAGTGCTATTGCTGGGTCATGGTGTAGTTCTATTTTAAATTTTTTGAGGAACCTCCAGACTGTTTTCCAGAGTGGCTGCACCAGTTTGCATTCCCACCAACAGTGCAAGAGGGTTCCTGTTTCTCCACATCCTCACCAGCATCTGTTGTTTCCTGAGTTGTTAATTTTAGCCACTCTGACCGGTGTGAGGTGGTATCTCTGTGGTTTTGATTTGTATTTCCCTGATAATGGGTGATGTTGAGCATCTTTTCATGTGTCTGTTAGCCATCTGGATATCTTCTTTGGAAAAGTATCTATTCATGTCTTCTGCCCATTTCTTCACTGGATCATTTGTTTTTCACGTGTTGAGTTTGGTTAAGTTGTTTATAGATTTTGGATAATAACCCTTTATCCAATATGTCATTTGCAAATACCTTCTCCCATTCTGTTGATTGTCTTTTAGTTTTGTTGATTGTTTCCTTTGCAGTTCAGAAGCTTTTTATCTTGATGTGATCCCAGTAGTTCATTTTTGCTTTATTACCCTTGACTTCGGTGACGTGTCAAGCAAGAAATTGCTGCAGCTGAGGTCAAAGAGAAGATTTTCAAAATAAGAAAAAATAGATTCAAATATTAAAATGAAAAAATTAAGTGAAAATTTTGTATTCCCAAACTGCAGTTCAAAATATCAGCATGGACTCATAGGGAATTATCTCTCTTTTTAAAAAAAAGTTTCTTAGTTCACTGGAAAGACCTAAGGACAACAACCAACCCAGTGCCGTGAACATCCAAATTCTGGAGTCCAAATGCCATTTTCCACTAAAGGAAACCAGATTTAATGGTGGTGGGGGCAAGGGGGAGGAAGGTGGGAAAGGCTGATTCCAGGGTCTTAAGTAAAAGCACAAGCTGCATATGGAATTCCTTGTCTTTGTAGAAAGCAG